CTCACAAGGGTGTGTAGTGATGGACGAGGGAGGATGACCTTAAGCTTAGGGAGGGTAGGTTTAAATTTGATATTAGGAAGGAATTCTTTGCTGTGAGGGTGGTGAGACACTGGAAGAGCATGCCAAGAAAAGCTGTGGATGAGCTATCCCTGGAAGTGTTCAAGGCCAGGTTAAATGGGTCATTAAGAAATGTGGTCTAGAGGGTGATGGCCTGTGCACCCACAGCAAGGGTGTTGGAACTGGGTGATTTTTTAAGGTTCCTTCCAACCAAATCATCCTATGATAGTGCAGCCCCATCTGATGCTGCAGCTGAAGTGGTGTGAGGAACAGGGATCATTAATCTGACAGCACTGTTGGTTTTGTGTCCTGCTGCCACTGCAGGGTCCCAATCTACATGCACGGCAGGCCCCCTCAAGGCACATGAAATCAAGTGGGCATCCTTATCCTCACCCTGCTGCCCTGCCTGCACTTTGACTTCCAATTCTGGAGATAGGTGTTTGTGGCTGCATTTCTCTTCACAGAGAAAAGCAAGGCACAACTTCCCAGGGATATTTCTGGAAATCGCAGCGAGGAACCTCAGAGAAAGAAAAAACAATTCTTATCTCAATTGCTGCTCCTCTTGTTCACAAGTGGGGAATGCATTGTAGAAGATTATTTACCTGAAGGGAATTAGTAATTGGATTCTGGTGTGAGTGTTTTGATTCACTGACCAACTGAATCCAGGTGTGTGTGTTGGGACTGTCAGCTGGCAGCCACAAGATTCTGGGCAGTCGAGTGCAGTTGAATGCTTGTGCAGATTCAGTTTAGATGTAGTGTAATGTAGATAATAGAATAATATACTGTATATATAATGTAATATATAGAATAGAATAATATAGTATAAATAAAGTAATTAATTAGCTTTCTGATATCCATGGAGTCAGATGCATCATTTCTCCCCTTCATTGGGGATTGCCCTGCTTTTACTGTAGGTGTTTCCTTCCACCATGCAGCCTGTGTGATCCTCACCCCTTTTCCTAAGCAGAGCTGTGCAAACAGGACCATTTCTTGCGTTTTCTCATTTTGTCTGTCCCAGGTAGGTGTTGTGGGTCATAGGCTCACTGTGCAATTCCACAGCATTCAGCAGTAAGAGGGGTCAAGGGAGCTGCAGTGCTCTTGATTGATACTGAGGACAGGGTGGCTTCTTTCAAAATCATTTTGCAGAGGCATTTCTAGGAAGGGGCATTTGTGGGATGGTGTATTTTTAGAGAATTTTACTGTGTCCCTCAGGTGTATGTGTAGTGCTCCATTTGCTGCAGCCTAGAAAAGAGGTGGAGTTGGATATAGCTCCATCTTCTCACTAGTTTCCATTTGTTAGGGAACCTCTGGAGTCACAGCATGAATGCTGATCCCAGATGATTTAATCAGGAGCTGCTCTTAACTCCAGCAGCTGTTTTGTGCAGGAAACATTTCAAGAGAAACTCACTTCTGAGGCTTAGCCAGTGAAAACAAGTGTGAGTTGCTACAAATGGGCACACCACCATAGAAGTTAGTCCTGTTTCTCACAATTGGAACTGGATCCTTGCGTCCTTTTTCTGCAGTGCTCCCTCAAATCACATTGTTGCTGGGATCAGGATATATCAATATGTGCATATATTTTTTTTCCTAGTGGGATTGCTTTATGAAGGGTCAGTCATGCCATTTATTCAGGCTATCTCCAATTTAGACTGACACACAAGCAGTTGCATGCTGATGTTAGCAGCAAGTGGGCTTTGAATATCCAGTAGACCTTAAAATAGTGGAAAGAGCACAAAATGTCCTGGGGAGCTGTTGGATGCAAATAAAATTATAGCAATAATAATGTGAGTATCCCCTCTACTTGATGGATGTGTGTGGACATGCTGCCCCATCTGCTGGGCTCTGCTGCAGGAGTGCCACCACAGCACAGGTTGCTGTTGTCACAGGGAGGAGAGCACTGTCACAACTGAGGAGGAGGAGGAGGAGGCTCACAAATGTGGATGTGAGCTGTGCCCTGCAGTTCTCACACATTATATCAGGCAGAGCCTGGCTGTATTGGAAGTAAAACACCCCAAAATGTAGAAATAGTGTAACTGTCAGCATGGCACAGTGGGAGCGAAGCTGTGCAAAGCACCCCAATTTCTGTCCTTGGTGTTTTATGTGTTAAGGACATTTTGCTGCAGCCTGTGGTGCTCCTGCCATCCCTGCTCTCAGTGATGGGTCATGGCAGCACTTCCTGACCCTCGGGGTTTGCTGGGTGGCTTTGCCCTGCAGCCAGGAGGAGTCCTTGCCTTGGGAGGGAGGCACAGCCTGGGATCTCCCCCTGCACAGCTGCTCCTGTGCTCTGGGTGCAGCTGTTCATTGCCAGCTGTGTCTGGGGTTCAGCTCAGAGCTTGCAGCACCCCAGGGCAGGGCATGTGGGGAGCCTCAGCACCACCTGTTTGCTGTGAGAGTGTCCCTGAAGCCAGGCCAGCTCTGAGACAAAACCTCCAGGTACAGCTCTTACAGCAAAACAATAACAGTCCCTTCTTCCCAAGCCAAGAAGGCAAGGCCTGGGCATTGTTTTAGAGAAATGCAGGAAGAAAAAAAAGAAAATAGTTGTATTTATTTTCAATAACTCATTCAGGTTGAACGGGTAAGTAGTTTTACAGTGCTGATTTATGGGCTGTTGCAAAATGCAAGAGCTGCTCATGATTGCAAATTTCATTGATCTTGACTCCAAGAATTTCAGTACAGTAATGTTTTATATAGTTTCTTCTCTCCCCAGTCCTGCCATTTGAAGTAATAAGGATGATTTGCCTTTATGCAGCCCGAGAGGAGACGCAAGTCAATGCTGGGAAGAGAACCTGGGCATCCTGATTTACAGAGCCAGGTCTGCTCCTTTCAGAGGGGAAGCCTTTCTTTACAGAAAAAAATGCCCCGTCTCCATGAGTAACAGTCCCTGCTCTATCCTGCAGTTAGCAGGCAGTCTCTGCAGGCTCATTTGTCTCATTGCCACTCTAAGGACACTTGACCATGCCTGGTTCATGGCCCCACCAGCATAAAGCAGCCTGCTGGTTCCAGTTTGCCCTGATCAGGGTGGTGATGGGTCATTACGCTCCTTCCTTCTCAGGGTGTGAGGCTTCCAACAGTGGTTTGGTCTTTGAAAAGGAGCCTCAGCACAGTCTGTGGTAGCAGCCATAGTGTGTGATACTTCTAAAAGATCTCTATGTTTTTAGATGATGAGCACTCTCCAGATATTTGGGGTTGGGGTTGCTCAGAACAAATGCTTGTGTTCTGGGTAGCTTCACCACCTTTTCCTAGCCCAATTCATTCTCTTCCTCCAGAAGTAGCGCTCTGTCATATGGGTGTTTGGCATACTGCAGGAGGAGCAGTGCAGCTTGCATTTACATTTATGTGTAAACCTGCCAGAAAACATTTCTATTCTTACTGGCCCAGATTCCTCCTGCCCATGACTAACCATTGCTGAGCCACAGGAGTTAGCATCATGCCTTTAAGTGCTGCAGGCCTGTCTTCTCAAAGGTTTATCTCTGCTTTTTTTAATTAAGTATGAATTTGGGGGCAAGCTACATCCCACTGTCTATTTAGGGAAGAGTAAGTGCCAGAAATCCTGCTTTGGGCCTGTGAAGTCAGCTCAGAAGAATTCAGAAGAATTGGGCTCAAAGAGCATATTGTATTCTGTTTCCCCTCTCAGTCTGAGTTCTTCTAATATCTACAAATGGGAGAGGCTTTGCAGTGTCGTCTCTGGTGAGCCTGTGTGTGATGTGCTGAGACAGTGCTCCCAAGGACTGCTGCAGGCAGCACACCCCTCTCCTGTTTGACTCATTTTGGGCTCTCAGACGTCAGGCTGCCCTAGCAAATGCCTCCCAGCAGCTCCAAGAGAGGCACTGGGAAGTGTGCCACGCTGTGCTGTGCCCTGTCAGCGTGGGGAGCAGGAGGTGCAGTGACAGCAGCCTCCCCGTGTGTCTCAGTTGGCTCTGACAGCGCAGGTTGCTCCCAGGTTTGCTGACACCCTGGCACTGTGCTTTGCTTGCACTCAGTCCCTGCCTGCCTGTGCATCCTGATGGGTAGGAGGAATGGAGGGGAGAGGAGTCCTTGGAAGAGAAATGGGTTTGGACTGTGCTTTTTGTGGTGAAATTGTTTGCTAATGACAAGAATATTTTTTAAAAGAAAGTAATTAAAGAAAAAAGCTGTATACAGCTTTGTGTCATGCTGGCTGTTTTCTGTGTCAGTCCAAGTCTGCTGTGAGCCACACTGAGCCACTGCCTGTTGTTGAGCTGTGCTTGGGGTTTGCACCTGAGCACTGCCTGGAATACAAGAGAAGGTGCTGCTGCCTGCTCCTTACTGTTCCTTCTGCCCCCTAGGCTCCAGTTCTAAACTTCACTATCAATAGTCTTTCTCTGTCACTTAGTACTGCTTGTACTCATTGTGTTATCCTGGTGTGCACAGCTGTCTCATGAATCCATCACAGGCAAGACAGTCCTCACTTCTGGAACCCACAGTCCAGCTTCTTCTGGCAGGGAACGTGACCCACAGCTCTAAGGGAGGGTTGATGTTTGATTTCTTTTTTTTTTTCCTCCTATTTCAGCACATCTGTTTCCATCTTCCCTATCATTGTGTGTGGATGCACACACACCTCTGGCATTGTTGTCATCCAAATTTTGTCTTCCTACATACGACTTTTGTGGTAAATTTTCTGGGAGCTCTGTAGGAAGCCTAGTTTTATGCAGGAATATCCTATTCTATTGTCCTGATGAGAGAGAAATAGCTTGGCATAAACGTAGGAGGTGTACAAATGAACACAGAAGTATCCAGGTTCTTTAGAAATGAACTCAATGTTCTTGCTCTGTTTTATAAAGGCTCAGTTTGCTTTCATTGAGAACACTACAGTTTTGTCTCTGATTTTAATGGGGACAGAACCAAGGGCTGTGGGGAGCACGGGCAGAGCTGTTTTCCCCCTGCACACTTGCAAGCCTCAGGCGCCTTGTTCTTCCTGGCTGCAGAGCGCTGCGACGACTGGGGTGTGGACACCATGAAGCAGATCCAGATTTATGATGGGGAACCTGCCAAGATCAAATGCCCACTTTTTGAGACCTTCTTGAAGTACAACTACAGCACAGCCCATTCTGCTGGCCTAACCCTGATCTGGTACAGGATTGCACAGGACCGGGATCTGGAGGAGCCCATTAATTATCGTCTCCCTGACAATCACATCAGTAAGGACAAAGACACCCTTTGGTTCTGGCCTGCTCTTCTCAATGACACTGGGAATTACACCTGCATGCTCAGGTAGGTCGTGTGGTGCAGTTTCTGTACATCTCCAGTGCAATCAAAGGACTTTTGTGGAGGTGGGGAAATGATGCTGTTAGCACCAGAACTTCCTGTGGGGAGACTACCATTTACAAAAGCATTAATGGGAAAAGAATGTTGCAATTATAGGACTGCTCAGTGCTGAGCCAATTTACATGGCAATAATGCTTGGAGCCTTGCAGACACTAATGAGCGTCCCTCTCCTTGCTGCAAGTGTCCGTGAAAATATTATTGCTGAGCCCATGGCAAAATCCACAGGCACTCACCATTAAGAAGTGATCTGCATGTCTAGAGTAAAAATAGCTTCAGATGCAGGGGTAATGTTTTGACTGCACACTAATTTGGCAAAGATTCATGAGATTCAGACTTCTAGGAAATTAAAAGTGTCTCTAACTGTGGTGCAGAATGAATGTAGCATCTGCTCTGCGTAAGACCTCTTTTTGGTCTTCCTCACGTTGTCTTTTGTCTGTGTCTTTGACCTTATGATCTGCTTTAGCAGCAGGAGAGTGGATGTTGCTTGTTAGTCATCTTTATAGGCTTTTGTGAGCTTGTGTGGCCACCTCTGGTAGGGTTTTCTTTCCCATTTACAAATGAGTCAGCTAAGGCTGTACGTACCTGATCAACCCTATGATGCTTGTTATTGCAGATGTAATTTTTATTTCATTCCATTCCACTGCTGTAGGAGTAAACAAGTTTCAACTAATCAGCCCTGTTCTTGCCCACCCTTAGGAACACAACCTACTGCAGCAAAGTTGCTTTTCCCTTGGAAGTTGTTCCAAAAGACCAGCACTCTTGTGTGAGCCATTCCATAAAACCCACTGAGGAGATGTTCTACTTGGAGCATGCCAATCAGAAGATCACATGCCCAGATATTGATGGGTTTTACCCTGCCAGTGTGACACCAACTGTCAAGTGGTACCTGGTAAGAAGAACTTGCTTGGGCAGCAGGGAGATGCAGTGGTGTGTGTGAAAAATCACTGGTTGGCATGGCAGTCATGGAACTGCATTTCAGAGTCTCCCCAGTGATGATACTGTTAATGAAGCTTTACTAATTTTAAGAGCTCTGCTTCCATTTGGTTCAAGGATAAAACTGCTCTTGGAAAGAAATTGAGAGCTAACACTGAAGCTTTTTTGACCAGTGTGCACAAGTGAAAAATACTCCTAGGAGGGATTTAGGTGGCTGAGTTCAATTATGGGCAGTGTGACTGACCTGCTGTGTGAGAGCCTCTCACTTTCCTGTAGAGGAAACTGTCATTCATATTCCCTCTTTTTCAAAAAACCCCATCTGTTAATGAAAATTGCATCCTTTCCAAAATCCTCTGAGGTCAGGAAGTGAAGTAGTACATCAGGCTGTGCAAGACAATGGGTGTCCTGTTTGACACAATTCAGCAAACCTCTTTTCTGAAGACTGATACATCTCTACCCCACCCTCCATACTTTTCTGATTATTAGACTGTCTCCAGCCATCCTCAGGCTCTTGCCTACAGAATTACTGCTCAATTTTCTTAAATTAGATTTCACTCTTTCTCTCTAGGTGGATGCCTTTAGTCAGTGGAGAATAAGAAGTCTCAGGGGATGTAAAGTCTGAGAGTTATGGGAATAAGTTCTTCAATAACATTCTGTAAAGTACTTTTGTATTTCTAGACAGAAGATTTTGTATAAATTAATTTAATAATAAGGGAAATTGTAAACAAATGTATCTGCTGATTTAAAAAAGAAATTAAAAAGACCCAAAAGGAAAAACCCCACCTCTAAAACCCTACAGGAAAAACTTCCTCAAGAGGAGCCATTTCACTCCAGTACTTTAAATGCTTTACTTGTATCATTCATTGAAATTCACATCTCGGCAATCAATTAGCAGAATGAAACAAAAAGCCCCTTGGAAGTAATTTTTCAGACAGCAAGTCATCCCATGCCTAATAAAAATCATTAAAAATGGTATATGACCCCTGTCCTAAACTACCCCATTAGGATGTATCAGATTTGGAAATGTACCATTCAAAAATAATCTCTAAGAAAATGTGCACATCTTTGGGTTTTATGACAATCAAGATGTTATCTGCATAACCTCTTTCTGAGAAGGGATCTCCAGCTTGGTATTTTGGCAGTTTTCCTTCCCTGCCTGACAGAAAGAGAGGAGTTATTAAGGTTTATGTACTATAGATTCTCGTTTGCTATTTGCAAATTCTGGGGCCTCATCCTCAGCTGAAGGCAGCCAGGAGAGCTTGATTAGTCCCAAAAGATGGACATCAATGGGGTACATGTCCTTAGTCTTGGTATCCATTTGTGATTACGTCATCATTTTCTTCTTATCACTTTTTACTTTGCTCTTCACTCTGCTGAGGTGCTCACTTTGATTGCCAAGGTACTTCTGGATCAGAGATCTCTCCTTTATAAAACTGTCTGTGTTTAAAGTGGGATAAAGTTATTAGGGTGATCTGCTTCACCACTTAATTTTCAAGCTGAACATAGCAGTCTATACTCCAACATGCTCGAAGTTCATGATATTTAGATCTGACCTACATCATGATCCCAAGTGTCGCATTAATAGTTTAAATCAGATCTTTGTAGAAGCATTTAAACCAATATCTGCGCTTTTGAGTCCCAAACTCAAGTATTTTTCTGCCTGACTCCAGAACTGCAACTTGGTGGATGGCTTCTATGAGCGATATCCCCAGGGGCCCAGGCTTGTCATTGGCATTGTCCGCAGTGCCTACAAAGGGAATTACACTTGCATTGTGACATTCAAGGACCATGGAAGAACCTATAATCTCACCAGAACCGTAAAGATGAAGGTGGTGGGTAAGAATGACTTTAAAATGTGTAAAATGCATGTGGGTAACTGCAGAAGTGGCAAAAACAGCTGGAAGAGTTTGTTGCAGGATCCATTTGTGGTTGTAGTCAATCTGTGTTACCCGACTGACCTGATGGTTTTTTTCTTGCTCGGGTCAGACTTGTGTGGCTGTCCAGAACATACTGCAGTAGATGTCTCTCCTACCACCTTGTCAAATGCCCCAAACACAGAGAGTGGCCAGCCTCAGGCTGGTGAGGTTCGGCCCATAAGATGGCCAGGGGTACCCTCTGCTGGCATGTGAATGCATAACCTTGGCACTCCTGCTTGTGGTCTCCTGTGCCCTTTGCTCTTCACTGTTTGTGGGATTGTCACTTCATAGTCAGCTTGTCTTGATCTTCTTGGCATCTCAAAGCCATTTGTGCTGGGGTTGAGACTGCTGATCAGCCAGGCAGAGCTCCAGGTGCCCACTGCTTGGACACATCCATCCCAGGCACAGAGGCTCAGCCTACCTGCCAGGGAATTGTAGAGTTAAAAACCTAGTAAGCTGTAGGATACATTCTGAGTTCCACAGAAACAGCTTTTTTAAGGGTTGAAATAGATATTGGTGACACAAAATGAGGTTTGTATTTTGTTTTTTAGAAGCAGCAGTAAAAAGAAACTGGTGCAGGTTGTGCCTTGTGGGAGATGAGAAGGTTATGGAGCTTTTCTCACGTGAGAGGCCCAAACTAGCTTACCTAAACTTCGGGGGAGCCTTAAAATCAGGACCTGGCCCTGAGTTTGTGGATTAGGATTAGATGCGTGTGTGCATAGAACTCTGCAGCAGGAATGCCTCACGAGTCAGACTGGGGAACGTGCAGTGCGGCGCGAGGGCATCGGGAGTGAGGCTGCATGGATTCCAGGTTTTCATGAAATCTGGGGCCCCATGGGGGCTCTCTGTTGTCTCCTGCAGGATCTCCAAACAAGGCCTTGCCACCACAGTTCACCTCTCCAAATGAGAAAGTTGTGTACGAACTGGAAGCAGGTAAAGTCCAACACTCGCAGTGTCCCAGTGGGACAGCCAGGCACAAAGCTCTCCCCTTCCACTGCATCTCTGGTGCTTTCCCTCACAGAGAACTGGAGCTGCCATGGGTTGCCTGGTGGACAGTATGGGATGCTAGTTTTTGATAGAGAGCACAGCTTTAAAAGCTGATTTTTGCAAGATATTCAGGCGTGATAATACAGAACTGTAGCTGCAGAAGCAGATGAAAAGGGGACACTCAGCTGCTTAGGAGAATCCCTGTAGGACCTTGTTTCAGCCCTGGCCCTGGCTGTGGTTTGCTCCCATCCTCCCTCATTCACCCCTAGAGTGGCTTTAGTATTCTAGCCAATTCTTGCTCATCTCCCCTTTTTTTTGGCTGATGACTTCCTAATTAATGACAGCTCTCCTCTGCTGACCTCGCATCCCTGGGTAATGGGGTACCACACCCTTTCCCTCACCCCTTCCCCCACACCATCGGTTTTGCCTAATAGCTTTTTGGAGCAATTCCCTATATCAAATGGATTGTGTCCCATTACATTGCTGTAATAAATGTGGTGGCAATGATGATGATTGGCACCAGAGTCTTCACTTTAAAGAACAGCCCTTTTGGCTCAGAAGGTCAGATTTCATCCGTAGTCCTCTGTAAGATAAAATCACTTATTGATCACCAAGATATTCACACTCTCAAGTCTGATCTTGAGCAGAAGTCAAATTCCTGAAGAAGTATTTCCAAACCAAAATGCTTTCATGGAGCTTGAGCCTTCACTTTGTGGCATCTGTCCCCTGTGCAGTGGGATTGATTAGCGCTGCCTGGGTTTCCAAGGAATTGGTTGGCATGGAGCATGTCCCTTTGGGTGGGTCACTTCATGCACTCAAGGAATTTGTAACACATTTGAGGAGGCAGGACATCTTTTTCTATTTATCTGTCTGTCACAAATCCTCATGTCCAGGGATGTTAAGCTGTTACTAGAGTTTATGTCAGAAAGTGGATGTTGGCCTCATTCTTTCCTGAAGGGACACAGAGCTTAGTCTGGTAGGATTTTGGAAAGCACCAAAGTGAGGGGGGTGCTGTTCCTGCATTGCAATACCTTTTCTCCTAGGAGATGATGTTCCTTTCTTTGCAGGTGATGACCTTATCCTGCCCTGTGAGGTTTTCTTCACATTCCTGAAGGACTCCCGGACCGAGGTGTGGTGGACCATAGATGGGAGAAACACAGATGACATCACCGACCCCAAGATAAAAGTCACACAAAGGTAACATCTAATGTGAACCTTCATTTCTGATCCTCTGGGTCCTGTGTGGGTACAGGCATGTGACAGTCCTAATGGAGTGTGTAGTCTCCCTGTTAATCAGAAGCCCCTGTGTCTGCACCCTGCTGTGATGAGCACCAGGACCTCCAAGGAGGAGGCCTTCAGACCTGGACACAGTGTCACATCTTACGGATGGATTTGAGGGAGCTTTGTTAACCAGTTCACATCATCATTTGTTCAGGTCCTGGTTGTGATGCCAACAGCTGCTGTTGTTATGAGATTTATAAAACAGGGGCTGACAATTCTATTTAGAGGAGTGTTCCCAAATAGCATAGGGTATAAAAGTGTTTCAGAAAAATAGAGGCTGAAAACAAAAATATAATATTATACATAGTATTGATTAGGAAGAATAGGTATTGAATCACATAAAGAACCCAAATGAGGATCAAAGTCCCATTTGCTGGATGCTGAGTTACAAGTAGGAGACAGTCACTGCCCCAGCTGATTTGCAAAAACCAATGTAGCAAAAAGAAAGGCAAAAGGAAATACTGTATCCTCATTTTGCAGACGGTCAGTTCAGGCAGAGAGAGACAAAGTGACTCATCCAGGACTGCATAGGGAATGTGACGTGAGCTGTGAATATTGAGTTCATGAGATCTTCTTGTTTATAGGCAAGAACTTCCATTTCCTCTAAAAGGCAATGTGGCACAGCTGCAGTGAGAAAATTATGAGCGGTAAAATAAATATTAAGGAAAATCAGATAAAGGAATAGCTGCAGCTGTATTGCAATCTGAAGTGTATATTGATTTATAAATATCAAGTAATGTGTTTTGGCCTTTTTAAAGGAAGAGGTTATATCAGGGAAAGGAATACCTGTCACTAAAAACTTGCTGCACTTTCACATGTGTAATGCTCTAGTTATTCTCTTACAGTGAAATTACCAGAGATTTTGAAGACAAGACTCTGGTGAGGACTCTGACAGTGGCAAAAGCCACGGCGGAGGAGCTGAAGCGGAATTACACTTGCCATGCCAGGAACGCCAAGGGCGAGGAGCGCAGCCAGGCCGTGGTGCGCGTGAAAGGTGCGGAGCCTGCGGGGCTGGGGGTGCTGGGGGCTCTGCTGCTGCCTTCAGCCTCGCCCTGAAAAACAGCAAGGGAGTGTCCTAGGGTGACATTATGATGTTTGTATCCCCATTCGTGTGTGCTGTTTATGCTGGATATCATGTTCTGTGCCTTCAAGACTGGCTCTGAAGAGTGAAAGTTTTGCTTTGGTTTCTTATCAGCCGCTCCCCCATTGCTGGCGGGACACACAGGGCAGTACATGGTGCTGCTTTTGCTTTTTTGCTTTTGCTTTTTGCTTTGCTCTCACTCTTGCTTCTGCTTTGCTTTTGCTCACTTTTGCTTCTGCTCATTAGCTAGTTTAGCTAAACAGTCCAAATTTCTTCCTGGACTGTTTCTCCTCTCCTTTTTTTTGGACCTGCTTGCACCTGCTCTGGCCTGGGACCTGGGAACACCGAGAGTTTGCACCTTGTGGCTGCAGCAGCTGCCCCAGCGCCGGAGGGACTGAGAACAGAGCGACCACCCCCAAGAGAGACTTTCTGAATTTGTCATCTTTTTTCAGAGCGGTGAAAGAGTGGTGTCATGCAGTATTGTTCATTTTGTGTGCTGGGGGGGTGCTGTGCCTGTTAAATAAACAGGTTCTTTCCACTTCTCTCCGAGGAATTCTTCCCTAACCAGTTGGGGGAGGGGGGCATGTGGGTTTGCTTTCTGGAGGGGCCCTCCTTTGGAGATTCTCTCCCAGATTTGCCCTAAACCAGGACAGGGAGCAAAGAGTTCCATCAGGCCTTTCTGCCTAACACAGTCTGTTCTGTAGGCACTGCTGGCATACTGCTGCATTTCTCAGAGGCAGGGAACAAAGGGCCCCCCCATGGGCAAGTTCGTGGGTAGAGGAAGGACAGATCTGTTGTCCTTATCCCATCCCTGTACTGTTGAGTTTGTGAGGTGTCCAGGACAAGGTGAGAGATGGGAATCTGACTCCTTGTTCTCAGAGGCTGATTTGATATGATATGATATGATATGATATGATATGATATGATATGATATGATATTATATTATGCTATACTAAAACTATACTAAAGAAAGGATAATACAGACAGGAGGTTTAACAAGAATGAATAACAAAAACTTGTGACTGACTCCTCAGAGTCCAACACAGCTGATGGTGATTGGTCATTAACTAAAACTAATTCACATGAAACCAATCCAACATGCACCTGTTGGTAAATGATCTCCAGCCACATTCCAAAGCAGCAAAACAGGGAGAAGCAAATGAGATAATATTGTTTTTTCTCTGAGGCTTCTCATCTTCTCAGGAGAAGAAATCCTGGCAAAGGTATTTTTCAGAAGATATGACAGTGACACTATATCACAACTGAAGCTGAGGGCACAGGCTGCTTGAAGTGATTTCAGGTTATTTGGTTGTGTGAGGGTTTTGCATGACACAGCCTAGAAGTTGGCATCCTCCACAAGACAGTCTGCACTCGCTGGCATTGCTCAGGGAGTGAGACAGTCACACCATGGTGCTCTCTGGTTTTACTCCTTGCTGTTGTGATGCTGCAGTCTAGATACAGCCACCTCAGCATGGATGGTATAGATTGATTCAGCTCTCTTCTGTGTGGGTTTTTCCAACATCTTTTTTTCATCAAAGATTTGGTTCTTGTTTCCCAGACCCACCTCTCAGTAATAAAAGCTATGTGAGGCTTCCTGATTAAGCTGGATTTTTCTGCCTCCTTATCAGCTTCGTCTAGAGCTTCAACACCTGCTTTTACTGTAAGCCAGACCTCCCCTCTCCCACAGGGAATGCTGCCATGGCTTGTGTAGCTCACACCAGACACCTTCTTCCCCCGACTCTGCATTATAAGCACGGAAAAGCTCTTGGAGGTCTTTACTGGAAGATCTTTTTCTTCCTGGTACTTGTCCTCCTTCTATTTTAGTCTCATTCCTTTGAGATAAACCTTTTCTGGATTGTTAGGGAGGAACAATAGACCACACACATAACTGAGAAAGGCTGAAACCATCTGTCAGTGAGTTCCTACTCCATATATAATTTTCTGGGGTCATAATATTTGTACATGTAGCAGAAGTGAATCTGAAATACTCCGATTCTTTCTCTAAATAACAGTGCCTGAATACTGTTTTCTAGTGGACTGACCTGTACTATCCTCCCTTTTCCTTCCCAGGTCTGTTCTTGGTTAGTCACTGGGTTTGCTCTGAGCGGACACAGTCACTCACCACTCCTCCTTCCTGCTCTATTCCACAGCAAAGTCCAAGAGCCATCCCTAGCTGCTGCTGGCAGAGCAGCCTTATGCTAAGCTCAGTGCAGCCCATCCCAGTGCACATCCCACAGGAGCATCAGGCATGCCAGAACCCAACCCCTCAGCACCTGGCTTTTAGCAAGTGGCTCTGTGTGTTGGCTCCAACTCTTCCATTACATTACGTCATATACATTTCTTGCTTCTTCTGGATGATTTCCCTCTCCTTCTCGTGTACTTCTGCTGCTCATCACCTAATGAACGTCGATAAATTCCTTCCATTTTCGATTTTGTAATTCAGTTTTATTAGCAGCTTATTAAATATTGGAATGTGGTGGTGTTTCCACTCCCTGTTGTTCTGTTATTGTGCAGTTTGCCAATTTGCACATCAACTGCCACCAACAGAGTTGCCCAGGGATACAGTTAGAAATTTTCTGTCCTTAGTACAAAGAGGCAGCAGTGGTGTGACAGACAGTGCATGAGTTGGAGGGGGCCTGTGATGTTCTGGCTTGATGCCCACAGGTTACCCTGTTTGTTTGTAAGCATTTCAGCTTTTCTGTAAGGAACTCTGATTCTTCTTTCATGGTAGAAAAGAGTCAGGCCAGGGCTGGTTATATCCTGGGTGTCAGTCTGGGACAAGCCACAAGACCTGTGTCTGTTTGATGGGGAGGGAGAATGGTATCCATTGCCTTTATTTTGCTGCAGATGCTTTATCTGGATCTCTTAGAAGTCAGAGCAGTTGCGTTCCCCCAAGAGTTTGCTGATACTGCTGGGAAGGTCATGTTCATGTTCTGGCTTTGGCCTGTGCAGGTTTCTTCCACCAACAGGTCATTCTATCACCTGGCTGCTCCCAGGGCCTCACTCAGGGACAGAATTCCAGCCTGTGCCATGGACTTGCTCTGCCAGCATAACCAGAGCTGATAACCCAGACTGGGGCTCCAGGGTGGCCAGCCATCATGTGTTCTGCCAGAAAAGCCTTGACTTGATCACCTGACTCTGAAGGGGCAGCTTGGCTCCACAACCTCTGTGGGGTTTGGCTGCATATGACACAAGCTTGTTCCTGCTCACCTGAAGGTCCAACCTGTTCTTTAACCGTGACCCCCTGTCTATTTTTGTTCTCAGTTGTAGCACCCAAGTACACAGTGGAGCTGGCCTGTGGCCTGGGGGCCACCATCCTGCTCGTTGTGGTGCTCATAGTCATCTATCACGTGTATTGGCTTGAAATGGTCCTCTTCTATCGGGCTCATTTTGGAACGGATGAAACCATTCTAGGTAAGGAGTTAAAATGCTTTCTTGTATTTATCCTGCTGCAGGCCCTTTATTTTCATAGAGGAGTTTTCCTATAAACTATTTTTAAACCTCTTCACAGCATAATAACATTTTGACCTTCCATTTCTCTATCTACATGCAGTTGTGTGGGTCATTGCTCATTAGAGCAAGAGCAGTCAGGTTTTTGGCTCAGGGAAAAAGAGAAAGAAGTCCTCTGTATTCTCTGCAGAGGTGGAGCATGGACATGCCAGGCTCCCCAGGGCCCTGCCCTGCTGATCTAGCTGTATCATCCAGTCTAGAGATTGTCAAGATACATCATCAGGTTTCAGTAAGTCCCTTGTTTCCCTGGTGACTCTCTGTAAAGGATTCATGATCTGATCCAGAGTGATCTGCTTTCAAATGTGGGAAGGCATCCAAAAGGATGGATGTGGAAAACACCGTTCTGTCCTCAGTTCTTCCCTGTGTTACTGGGAGTTCATTGCTAGGGACTCTGAGGTGAGATTTCTCCTCTGGAGGAGGAGGAGGGTGTTTGAGCCCTTGCAGCTTGTGGTGTGAAGCTGCCACGGGGTGCGGCAGCTCTCGGAGGGTGTAGGCAGGGTGCAAGCCTCTGTCTGGTGGGGCTGCTCGTGTGGATAGACAGCAGTGAGAGGGAGCAGAGTCTGAGGTGTCAAAAGAAGCCTGGACAGAATGAGTTGGTCTGTGGGAATCTGTGTTGTGGTGGTGTTCACAGGGGTCCCGGGATGAGGGAAGAGATGAGAATCTTGACTCCATGTTTCAGAAGGCTGATTTATTATTTTATGATATATATTTTATTAAAAGAAAATGATGTATTAAAACTATGCTAAAATAATAGAAGAAAGGATTTCATCAGAAGGCTTGAAAGGAATAGAAAGGAATGGGATGATAATAATATCTTGTGACTGTTCACAGCCTCAACACAGGTGGCTGTCATTGGTCATCAAGTAAAAACAATTTCACATGCTGGGTAAACAATTCTCCAAATCACTTTCCAAAGCAGCAAAATGTGGAGAAGCTGAAGCTTCTCAGCTTCTCAAGAGGAAAGATCCTAATGAAAGGATTTTTCATAAAGTATGTCTGTGACACTACATGCCTTAACCTGCAGTGCCTGGGCTCCAAGTGGGCCTTCCTGCCTGCTTCTGTTGCAAGTCCAAGGCCCAGCATGGGCAGTCTCACAGGTGTCCGTGTGCCCTTTGTGTCCCCCCGTGCTCTCATGCTCAGATGGGAAGGAGTATGACGTGTACGTGTCCTACGCCCGCAACGCCGAGGAGGAGGAGTTTGTGCTGCTGACGCTGCGCGGGGTCCTGGAGAACGAGTTCGGCTACAAGCTGTGTATCTTCGACAGAGACAGCCTCCCTGGGGGAAGTGAGTATCTCACAGGGGACTGTGCTCCATGCACGTCCTCTGTACTGTTCTCTGAGGTATTGATCATTGATTGCAATGAGCCTATCCAGATCCTGTTTTGGTTTTGTTCCCTGTCCCTGTTAATGAACTCTTTTTAGTGTCTTCTAATGTTTTTGCTTCACATGACAGTGTTGCAGATGCTCCAGGCCGCCAAAATGGCTGCTGTGGGGATGGTGTTGGTTGTTTCAGTTGCTCTTTCCAGGAGTGAGGTGCAGGAATGTCAGCATGGGAAACCAGAAAACTGATCTTCATGCAAGCCCTCTGAGCTGCCTTAAAAAACTGGATAAAGTCAAGGCTAGAAGAGGCAGGGAAGTGTTATACTGGATCAGCTCACAGAGGGTTATGGAGAGTCCTTGTAAAAACCAGGAGCGTCTACTTCAGGAAGGAGTGGAAGGTGTCAAAGCTTCCAATGAGAAGATAATGTGCATCCCATTTATCCTCATTAATTAGGGAGTTTGTGTCTAATATGGCATACAATTTAGCTGCTATTATCAAAACAACTTTGTTGCGGGTAGTGAGACTCATCCCTTCAGTAAGATGTAGTCCTTTTTTACTGTTTTGAGATAAACCTTACAAGGTTCTGGACATAATGTCTGCTTCAGAGAGGCAGGGAATCACCAAGAATGGAAGTTTGTGAAGCTGTCCAGATACACATACTTTCAGTCAAGTTCCAGAGCAGGGGCACAAATCTAGACAACACTCTTGATTTTTAGTTTTTGGGAGGCTGAGTTGGTTGTATGACCCTGATGCCTGTTAAAAGTTCAAAGTCTGAATTTCTGCCAGTGCAGCCACCCTGCTTTGAATTCATGGGCTTTAGCTCAGGACCTCAAAGTCCTTTTTTTTGGTGACAAAACCTGTGCTGGGAAAGTCCATTGGAGTGTCCCTTTTGAGTAGGAACGGGGGGGACTGCTGGATTCTCAGCCCACCTACCTGACAAAGGGAGCAGAATCAGTCTGGGTTCTGTTATCTTTCCTTTCTAGATTGTTCCCAGGATCTAGGAGCACCTTAAAGTTTGAGAGTAAATAAATATGTGTCTCAGTGAGGCAGTGGCAATCCTGGTGCTGTTCCTCCTTGAAGACAGCCTGAATGATGTGGCAGGGCACCCTCCAGGCTCAATTTCCTTAATGCCAGTGTCAGGCTCAGAACAGGTTTGCTCTGAGCCATTTTCACCAGATGTCCATCTCTCTCCTGTTCCCTCTGCTGCTTCTTGCCCTGTTCAGTTTAGAGGGTGTCATTTTCCTCCCAGCACTGCTCTCCTGGGCTCCCTCACCTTACCCCAAAGGTTTCCATCTGTGCCCCCCTCAGTCCCTGCCAGCCCCAAGGCAGTGCCAGCCCTGGCAGAGTGCTGCTGGAGTGGTTTGTCACTGCACTGCCATCCGCGATGCTGCTGGGGCTTCCCCGGAGCTTCTTAGCCAGGATTTGACTAATCTCCTTCTCAGGAAAGCACAGGGGCCAGGAAATAGCTTTTGGCAGCTGGTGTCATGCCTCCAGAGCGTGCATCTGTGTCATGGGTAGAGAGTTATGTTGTCCTTGATGAAGAAACAGTGGGAGATGGATTATCCTGTGAGTTAGCTGACAGGAACTAATCAAATGTGTTTGACAGCTAAATGAAGCTGTCTGTCAGCATTATTTTACTCTCCATTGTAATTTCTGACTAGTCAAGAGTGTTCCCTTATCAAGGAAGTGTGGGAGATCCTGCAGCAGAGAGTACAAGCACCCGGATTCACACTTACAAGGGATTTTCACATTAATTATAGACGATGGCCAAGGACAGTCTACCTGCAGATGTTAGAAAATTAAAGAGGATCCACAGTTACCATGACATTTCTCTAGCTCAAAGGATGTAATTTTTGGGACACTTCACTGAAAGTCCTCAGAGTCAGTTCTAAAAATGCTCTAATCTGCTTTCATAGGTGACGGCAGCAGGAGCAGATGGATGAGTAACGGGAGTTAGGATGGTAGCATTACCAAAGCAAATTATCCCATGAGAACACTTGGGGACGGTGTGAATACTTACTTTGTGTGGGGAAACTGAGGCAAGAGGAGTTTCCAGAGTCATTCTGGACATCTGCCAGATGAAGATGTAAGCATAGACATTCAGGCTTCCTGAAGCCTCTTCAGAGTGAGTCTTTCCCTTGAGTTCATGTGTTATGCAGCTGGCAGTTTCCCTGCTTTGCTCCAGAGAGCCTCTTTTCCCCCCTCTCATTAGAAGGAAGCTAAATCTCAGCCTGAGATCAGAAGCCCTCTTGGCCACGAGGCATCCTCACAGCACTGGGTGGTGTCACTGATGTGTAGTACAGTGACTTTTAGGTGTAGCTCTCTTGGTTATCTCTGTGTAGCATGGGAGGAGGACAGGCATCTATAGGTAGTCTGGAGTGATGAAGAATATGCCACTGGATGGGGTAGTGGGAACCAGCCCTGGTGTAGAGGTCCCACCTGAAGTCACTAACAGGGTTGGGAAGCACCAGTGTAGTCTAGAGAGAGCCTCCAAGGGATTTATTGTCCCCTTCAAGAGTCACCTGCTGTCACAGCAGCAGCTCAGCAGCATGTTCTTGGGCATCACTAACCACTTCAATGTTTCTTTCTCCCAGTTGTCACAGATGAAACCCTGAGCTTCATCCAGAAAAGTCGACGTCTGCTTGTTGTCCTGAGCCCCAACTACGTCTTGCAGGGGACACAGGCCCTGCTGGAGCTCAAGGCTGGCCTAGAGAATATGGCCTCCAAGGGCAACATCAAAGTCATTCTAGTGCAGTACAAAGCCATCAAGAAGAGCAAAGTGAAGGAACTGAAGCAGGCCAAGGCAGCCTTGAATGTCATTAAATGGAAAGGCGAGAAATCCAAGTTCCCAAAGGGCAGGTTCTGGAAGCAGCTGCAGGTGGAAATGCCAGTGAAAAAAATTAGCAGGAGTTTAAGCCTTGATGGGTTGATGCATATCCCTGAAAAATGTTTGACCCAGTCAGAAAACAAACCAAAACACACCTCAAAAATCCACAAGTTAGGCCAGGGTGTGGGGAGGAACTCAGGGTTTTTTCCATGAAGGACCATGTCCCAGGCATTTCAGAGGATAGTCATGTTTTCCCTGCAGCTTTGATATTGCTCTGTCATTAGAAATGAAGATGCAAACACCTGCTTTCTGCAAATGTATGTCCTTGTTATCAACCACACAAGCCCTGGGCTTAAGGTTTAAATTTGCTATCTAGGTGGGATGCATCCAGCACCTTGTGATAGCATGGCCAGTACTCCTAGATCCAGTTCCTATGGGACCTTCATTAGCATCCAGGACAGAGCTTCTTTCCAGTCCTAAGTAACTTCACTCCTTTCTGGTCCTCAGTCCCTGTTGCAGAGGCTGAGGAACAATTTGCAAGGTGGCTCCAGTGCAGAGCCTTTCCTGCATGTCCCAGGTCTGTAGTCCCAATCACTTGTGGGATCACAGACTCCTGCTGCACTGTGGGGAGCGTGGAATTTTGAAGCTCCTCATCTCTGTTCCCCAAATTTCCTTTGAAGCAGATGCATCCAGATAGTTTGGCCATGGGAAATGGCTGTTACAGAAGTATCAAAAAAAACCCCACAACTGTACTGGGTGCTATTTGTATTGTAGCACATGTAGGAACAAGTGTCCCAATCTCTGGGACTCTGCAGTCTCACAAGTGCCCCAGATCCTTCAGAGCTGCTTGTAATCCAGGGAAATCTCTCATGAGTGCAGGCTGTGGAGCATGTGAGAGATGTTTATTTGTAGAGTAAACTCAGGGACTTCACAAGCACTACAAGGAACCCCAATGTACTACTGAACCTGCCTACTCTCTGTGCCACTAGCTGGGGGAAAGCATCATGCAAGGTGCTTCCAAGGTCTTTGGAATAACATGGATATAAGTCCAACTCAGAAGGACACTCCAGAAACTTACTTGAATTTCCTAAAAGCTACTAGTTCTGTCCATGTAGGTAAGACTGTGAGGACAGGCTGAGAAAGCTGGGGATGTTCTCCCTGGAGAAGGTTTTTTGTGGTCTTTCAGTGCTTAAAGGGAGCTTACAAGAAAAGTGGGGGCAGACTTTTTAGTAGGGCCTTTTGCAATTACCCCTTAATGGACAAGGGGTAATAGTTTTAAACTAAAAGAGAGTAGATTCAGACTATACTTAAGGAGGACATCTTTTATAATGAGAGTGGTAGAACACCGGCACAAGTTGCCAAGGGAGGTAGATGCCCCATCCCTGGAACCATTCAAGGCCAGGTTGGACAAGGTTGTGAGCAATCTGATCCAGCTGAATATATCCCTGCTTATTGCAGGGAGGGTGGCCTTTGAAGGTTCTTCCCAACCCACATTATTCTATGATTTTATAATGACTCTCTTCAATGCCTGGTTTTGAACAACGTTGCCACTTCTAATTCAGGGTTTAGGTTTAAACTAGCTTTGGCTTTACAAAGCAAGTCTCTCCCCATCTTGATTCTAGCCCAAAGCTGCAGAACAGAGAGTGTATCTCAGCTTCTGCAACATTTGCACAAAACAGAAGCACAAAATCCTGCTGTGTAGGTGTCCTTGCTTCAGCAGGAGAGAGGGCATGGTGAGTTAACCCCCATCACACAGTTCATGCTGAGGAGGGGAGTTTAATCTCTCCTGTAGGACAAACCAAAGCACAGTGGGGCCCTGGCATTGACTGGTGCTATGGTTCACAATGTTTTCAAATAAAACTTCAGGCTCTGGAGGTGTCTCCACACTCCTGCGGCTCTTAGTGCAAGGACCTGCCCACTTAATTGTGGACTTCAGTATTACACACACCAAGTGCATACTTATTTTTATTAGTGATGGTTGCTCCTGAGTCACCTTTGACTCATGCATTTATTCTCTTGGTGTCCAGTGGGTGAGGCATTAGCATTTATAATGGTACTATAAAAGCACTACAATTAGGAGTCTATGCACTATTCACCCAGCTGAGCTGGGAGCTTTGAGGGTGTCCCAGTAAAAAGCCCAGCCTTAAAGGTGTGGGACTGAATGGTGTCAGGAAAGCCTTTTGCCCTTTGCAAAAAGCATTTTAGGATTAATAATGTTATTCCAGGGCTGCAGGGAGCTACAGCCCCCCATGCCCTTAGTCAGGTACTGTATGTTGTGTTTAGGAATGGTACCCCACAATTCAGGGCTCCCCCTGAAACCATGTGCCCCTTATTTTCCCCCTGTCCCTTCTTCTGCAGAGGGAGGGAGAGGAGAATTGGAGGCACAAAAGGTAAAGATCCTGCCAGGAGATAAGAAAAATTTACTGGAAACAATAATGTGATAAGAAAATGAACATTAACAACAACAATATTGGTGATAGAGGGTACAAGAAATGAATAATTCCCATGGACAAACCCCCTGATAATTTACCATTCCTTCTGCTGCCTTCACTGGCCCAGCTGCGCTGTGCTGGGACCCTTTCTCTCCAAAAGAGACCCCCTTGCAAATGCAAGGTGGTGTAGAATAACTTCACTGTCCTGGACGTGCCCCCTCCTGACTACTGCAAAAACTAACCCTGTCCTGGCTGGAATCAGGACACTGTACAGATGTGTAACAAATAGGGCTTCTTTCTTACCGTCCTCTTCATCTTTCCCACCCCAAGTAAGCTTTGTTTTAAGCAGGTAGAATTGCAGTCAGCTTCACTGGAGGCAGTGGAGCCCCTTATCTGCTCAGAAGTGCTTAAAAGTTTTGTTATGAGCTTTTCTACTGTGGTTGTCTGTGGAGGGACAAAGCTGCTTCCCACACTCCAGAAAACTTCATTTATAAGAGATAGCACCCAAACCCGTGCTCGGCTTTGTGAACCCATTGCAACCCTGTCATTGTGCCCAGCTTCACCTTTTTGTTTGTGTTTTAAGCATCTCTGTAATCAGCTGCCAGATCTGCAGACACAGGGAACGCCCTGAAGCCAAAACAGAGCTGTCTTAGGTTCCATTTAATTTCTAAAAGATCAGCTCCCAAATACTCATAAATTGAATTGACATCTCAGACCTCACCACATCATATCTCACTTTTACCCGAGTTACCAAGAGGTTTTATGCTGATGTTTTAGTAAGTCTGATTATTTTAGGAAGTTAAATCCACCTCAGGTATTTTGCTGATTTTATTGGAAGAGTTGTCCAAATAATTAATAGGCCTGGTCTTTCTCAGGCATACACTGCAGTGGCCTTTGGTGTCATTGCAACCCCAGAGCAGGGTTACTGAGAGACATCAGCAGAGCAGCCACAAGGCAAAAGGTGTGATGGTTTGGAAGGGGCCTGAGAGGTCAGAGGGAAGGAGCAGTGTGGAAGGAACGGTCCAGAAGCAGGTCCCACTCACCAGGAGCTTTACCACTGGCTTTGCTGGGTTATTCAGGCAAGGGGTAAAGCCCAGTCCCAACTGTAAAGTAGATGTGCAAGTGCCTCAGATATGCCTGTCATTTCATTCTATTCCACATGAAGTTTCCATTTTGGGATTCTGTCACAGCATCCATCTGAATCAGTTGATTTGAGTTTCTGTGCTCTAACCTAACATTTATCAATATGCAGCTCATGCAAAGTTCCTCATTGTTTTTTCATTGGGAAACAGCGTGGCACAAATTGGAAAAAATATCTTCCCTTCCCGTGCTGTTTGATGTTGTACAGCTGTTGCAGAGTTTTCCCTTTTCTGTATGTTTTTGCCTTTGTGTGATTTGGTTTGTGAAGTGTCAGTATTATTTTATTTTGCTTTTCAATAAAACATTTTCATTTTTGCATTTCAGTCCTTGTGCATTTCTCATAAGTACCATCTTCCCATTATGTCTGCAAAATGCTGTTAAAGAAAGATGATTGTGTGTAGTCCAAGCATCAAGATCATTTCGGGCTCCTCCTTGGAATGGGACATTTTCCTGGCTGTTTCTTGCTGTGCCTGCAGAGGCACCTGAGCTCCCAGGACCATCCAAGCAGAAACACAGTGACACACAGCATTCAGATGTCTCACAGCAGTGGACACATACACTCTGATCTGAAGTCCGCAGTAGTGGACACAGAAAGTCTCTGATCTGAAGAGTTCTCACTTGGCAATCACAACACAGAAAGATGGGAAGGCAACATAATCTCTGTTTTAAATATCAAATCAGAATTTTAGAAATCTGCCAAACCCACAGAAATCAAACTCACTCTCGGGCTACTTTGCCCATCAGTTTCTAGGTTCAGTGAGATTCATATTTTCTCATCCAAGTCACTTTCTTGCCCATTTCCCATGTTTGCCTGCCTGCAGGTAAGTTGAGAGACAGCCCAACACTTGCAGACCACTAGCAAAATGAGTACCTGTGACCATCTTTGGATTTGAGGTTTATGGATATGGGATCTGTGACCATAATCCTTATAATCTGTTACATCTTTGGGGTGAAGTGGGGAGACACAAGTAAACCAGTAAAAATAGGCAGTGCCTTTTGTAAACATTTAGTAAAGATGGAAGGTTTTGTAGTAAAAAGCAGATAACCAAGAGTATTGAATCCCCAAGCCCCTGCAGTGTTATTGCTGCCTGTCCCATCCAGTGCTGTTTTACTGAGGGGGAAGATCCTACCTGCACGCTGTGAAGTGTCTGCTCAGGATTTTTCCTGAGCTGGGTAAACATTGCAAACTGAACATCCCAAGGTATCCTGGTCAGCCAAGTCTAAATGCATCCCTTTCTCAAAATCAAATATATCTTTGGAAATTTGAACACCTTCCTTGCAAAAAAAAAACCAAAATAACAAGTCACAAAAAAAAAAAAAAAAGACTGTCAAAAAACATGAGTGTCAAAATTAAAAGTCTCAAAAAGCGTTGCAAATTCAAAATTGATAAAAGAAAACCAGCACTGTCGCCTCAATCAAAACATTTCATTTCAGCAGCATCAGAGTCATTCATGTTAATTGAACCTGGGCTTTTTGAACAGGCAGGTAGACCTCCTAGGGGCTGCTCCTGCTTACATTTTGCTGTGGTTCTGTGATTCCAGTTTCAAAAAGAAAGACCTTTCAAACAGCAAAAGAGCTTTTTCTTTCACAAACTGTTGAAGCCTGGCTGTTTTCAAAATAGATTTCAATCACTTGTAGAAAAGTTTGAATGAGATCTGGACTTAGGAATTGCTGCCAATTCTTTATGCCTTTGAAACAGGGTGGTAAAAACATGTCATGGTGGTAAGTGACAACTCTGACAGAACTGACTATCATCTACTTTTAGTTTCAATGAATCAGTGTTGTCCTGTGTGTGTTGGGGGTAAAAATCCCACTAACCTTTTTATACAAGAAGAAAAACCCCTCAAAACAATTTGATTTTAATCCCAGTATTTTATTAACCAAACAGTGTCCTACTTTCTCCATTAGCATTTTACTGTATGATCATTTTTTCTATCTGGGTCTCCAAATAATCTAGTGACAATGATTTTTACAGCTAGTCATACTTCTTTGAAAAGTACTGCTCTGTACCATATTAAAATAAGGTGCATTCAGATGCAACACAGTGCACCTTTTGCTGTGAGATAAGAGACAGCCAAGTGCTGGGAGAATCAAGAGGCATTGCCATTGCAGGGAAGGAACAGTATTTTTATTCATATAAAGGAGCAGTGTTCCACTGTCAGGGAGAGAGGAGAGTCTCCAGCCTGAGGAATGAAGGCTTTAGCAGTGTGAAATGGAAGGGAAGCAGGAGGTAGCTCTTCTTCCCAGAACAGCTCTTTGAAAGACATTCCTAGAGGCAGATTTCTCTGAATTTGCAAGAGCTCTTACTCTAATGATCCTTGTCTTGCTTGAACACCAATTTGTCCTTGGGTCCCCTCTCATCTCAGGCACCAGCACTTAGTAAGTGTATGGGTTTTAAATTTTGTTTCCTGTTTTATTACTCAGCTTTTGTTAAATTGCTGAGTGCCACAGCCATATAGTTCCCATCCTTTCCACTGCTCACCCTTTAGCCACTACACTTTCAACATACTTTCTGTGTCCCAAGCCACAGGTAGAAGTCCAAGGACATCCTTCAGGTTTGCTGCTTTTCAAAATTGGTAATAAAAGAGATGTTGCTCTTGCCTGGCACCATTTCAGCTAAGCTCCTTCCTGAGCTTTACAACTTGCAATTAATCCCAAGAAATGCTTTGAAGGACAGTATTTCCACCCCCCATCATGCTTAGGGGAACTGGTGGAGGGGTTTAAGGCTGACATTTTTGCTTTCTAAATTTGGAGGTTTCTTCTTAAAGGTGAGAGAGCATGACAGGGGCAAGGTGGGTCAGCCCCTGCAGTTTGAGCTGGGGCAGGATGACATGATTGCTTTGGTCCCCTAATGCAAAGAATTGCTCAAGCTGTGGGCAGGTGGTTCCCAAACAAGACCCACCCTTTATGAAATGCCTGCACTTCTCTGAGCGTGACCGGTGCTGTGCAGAAGTCAGAGCACAATCATGGCATATCCTGGCTTCTCATTTACCACCTCAGCCTTCTCAAAAACCCTCTGCACAGCACAAATGCTGCCAGCAGGAGAGTGGGCAAGTTGAAAGTCACAGAGCTTGTGCCAGGTTTCCCTCTGTGGGAGGAGGGATCTGTGCAGGTATGCCACCAAACAGCTTCCTCAGCTTTTCTCTCCCCACTCCCTTCTCCTTGTGCACCCCAATTCCTCTGCCCTTGTACTCTTAGATACCACTGAAGCCGTGTTCGACTTCATCCAGAGGAGCCGCAGGATGATCGTGGTCCTGAGCCCCGACTACCTGACAGAGAAGAGCATCAGCCTTCTGGAGTTCAAGCTGGGCATCATGTGCCAGAACGCCATCGCCACCAAGCTGATCGTGGTGGAGTACAGGCCGCTGCAGTGCACCCACCCCAGCATCCTCCAGCTGAAGGAATCCGTCTCCTTCGTCACCTGGAAGGGGGAGAAGTCCAAGCGCTCGGGCTCGCAGTTCTGGAAGGCGCTGCGGCTGGCGCTGCCCCTGCGCAGCCTGAGCGCCAGCGCCGGCTGGAACGAGAGCTGCTCCTCGCAGTCCGACATCAGCCTGGACCCCGTGCAGAGGAGACGGAGCCGCTTGAAAGGGCAGCCCGAGCCCCGGGGCGCCACTCCTGTGACTCTGACCCGCGCAGGGACGGCCTCGGCCTCCGAGTCCAAGGCCAAGCAGCGAGCCAAGCACTTCCTGACGTGCCGGTGCTGCGGGACCTCCTGCAATGGCAGCAGCAGACACAAGCAGCAGGCCGTGGCCGAGCCCAGGTGGGACAGTCACCTCTGCAACCCGGGCTCGGGCCGGCCCCCGGCACAGGGCCCTCAGGGCAGGGGCCGAGCCGAGCCCCCGCCGGCACAGGGCCCCGCTCTGGCCCTCTGCCATTACAGTGACCTGTCAAACAACAACGACTTCTACGTGCTCTGACCCACAGGCCGAAGCGCTGCTGGTGCTGGCCCGCTGAAAGGAACTCACTGCGGCCTCAGGATATTTTTACCGTGTCACAGGCTGGCACGGTGCCACTGAGTGTCA